CATTATTCAATACATTGTTATTGTTAAATAAATATCGTCAAATAATCGAGATCTCAATTTCAGTGAAAATAATCGTGATTATCAATTTTGCCATAATTGAGCAGCCCTACATGGGAGTGAGGACTCCTATTTGTAAAAGTGTCATGCTCCTTACCAGAGATTGTATATTTTTCATATACTGCTCATGCTCCTGACTGAAAGTGCAGTGTTGTGGTTTTTGCCTCTGCTGCACTTGGAGCTGGTATCTCAGTCTCTTCTACAATTGATTTTTCCCCGAGCTCTGGTGTAAAATTGCAAGTGTGCAGATCTATAAAGCTGATTAGCTGACAATGACGAATGAGGTTTGTCATTGGTATTGTTTTTTCTGTTTAATTCTGTTGTAATGAAGCTACAGTAGCTGCACCTGAAGCATCTGGCTGTTTCACAGGTTCCCAAAGGAGAAAAATAGGTCAGTGTCTTTGCGTGATCATTTCTGCAGGAAATCCAGTGAAAAAGAGATTATCAGGATCATACAATAACACCACTCATTTAAAACTGCAGGAAATTGGATAGCTCTCAGTAATGACCTGGAAATGAAGGACTCATCTGAAAACATGTAATATCCTCAGTAAACAGTTTTTATTACTAAGAGTTACAATATTCCCTCCAAAATGTTAATTTCTCACAAAAACATGCAGAAGAACCGAGTGATGAATTCTTTTGAGGAGAGTAATGATCTACAGACACATTTATCAAATAGCTGGTAAACAGAGTGCAGTGGTTAAAAAACAGAATAACAACAGAATAAGAGTGAACACTAGTTTTACTAATAAGTACATCCGCCGGATGTGTAAGCTCCTTATGGACACGATTTTAGAAGTCAACTAAAAAAGGACAATAAAACAAACTCTTAGGGAAAAAAATGTGAGACTAAACAAATGGAGGAAGTTAATGGTGACTTTAAGGTTGGATGAGCAGTTTTCTCTGATAACTTTCTCACCTAATAAATTCAATTCAGTTTTATTTGTATAATGCCAAATCACAACAACAGTTCTTTCAAGGTGCTTTATATTGTAAGATCAAGACCCTACAGTAATCATGTAGGGTCTTTATTTCAGTAATTAATGAAAATAAAACTATTATATATAGTTGATATATTGCACAAACCAGAAACCTTCAAAACATGAATAAAATATATCAAAACAATGTTTTTGGATACAAAGTTCTAGTGTGATAAGAATGCATAACTTCAATCAATCCAGCACGTGTCTATGAGATAGTACTCTTTATACAGCTTTGCAGCTCAAAGTACTTTACAGAACAACATATGCAAAACAGCCCCAGCATAGTCGCAAACACACACACAAGCCCGTTCAGCTATCTTAGTGAGGACCTTCATTGACATAGAGGTTTCCCTAGCGCCTTACCTTAA